TGAGGGGTGGCTGGGGTGACAGAAGACGGAAGTGGCTGGTGACAGAAGATGCAGGGGTGGCTGGAGTGACAGAAGATGCAGGGGTGGCTGGGGTGACAGAAGATGCAGGGTGGCTGGGGTAAGGAAGATGCTGGGGTGGCTGGGGTGACAGAAGATGCTGGGGTGGCTGGGGTGACAGAAGATGCAGGGTGGCTGCAAGCTACTTTAGAAAATCGTGTAATGTACAGTAGGATCTCAAGTTTTGCGACTAATTGGCCTCGGTTTAGAGTCGCAAAAATAATGATCGTGAAACAGTGATATTGAAATATAGGTAAATAAGTTCTAATCAGTTCTGCGGTATCACCTGAACCCCCCTATAATGACCTACGACCCACCCAGAAAATGACATTACTGTAATGTATTCATACATATTTATATTGTACATATTGTTGATAACAATATTTATATACACTCATACTGTAGAACAATTTACCTTAAAGGAGTCAGTGAAATGCTTGACGGGGCTGGTTGATGGGTTCCGAGGGGAGGCTGTTTACCTCCTCCTGCACCCCTCTAACCTCAGCATCAAATTCCTCAAAGTCTTGAGGCGGCTCTTCCACCACTAAGTCACCCAACACTTCAATATCATCATCGGTGGTGCCATCATCATCTCCTGAAGTGATGTTTGCCAAGGCATTAATAGGCTACTGAGTACTGAGTAATAAGGGCCTGCTGACGAGGTTTAACGTGGTATCGTATTCTTGTAGCTGTTCACTGAGATGTGCGATGTTTGCAAACAACTCAGTCAGCTGCAGAGTGTAGGTTCACCAGGCTTAACGTCATCTCTCGTGTTGGTTGCTGCTCTTCTTGTTCTCATCCTCCTCAACATTTCTTCAATTGTCGGTTGCTGCTGATGTTGACCAATGATTTCTTAAATCTTCAATATGAACATCAAAATCCCGGTGCTGGGACTGAGCCCTGCTTCCACCGTGTTCATTAGTGTTGCTGCGACGAGTGCTTCTCCTGCTTGCCTCAGACTGCTCTGCCCACTTCGGAGTTGGCAAACAAAGGCTTCATGCATGTTGCACTGTTGCAACCAGGGCCGGATCCAGGAGTGGGCAAGTGGGCAGCTACTCAGGCCTCTCATATTACAATATTTTATTTATTTGTTTATTCATTTGGATTATTTTCTTTTCATTCTTTAAAATTAATGTTTATCTTTTCCATCACGTAAAACTATGTTCAGCAAGAAGCGTGATAGAAATTAGGCTATCTACTCCTTGAAATTCATGAATACCTGTACCTGGTTTTCCTATGAACCATTATTTTAAGGAATGCTATTGTTTGTGTTGCTAATACAGTAATATATTTAGAATTCCATAAACAAATATTGATTAAATGAACTACATGGAATAACTTGAGATTAAAAACACTTGCGATTAAGGTTGGGTGGGAGATTATTGGGTCGAGTACTAACCTGACCTGATGGAACGATCAGGTCACCCAGTGTTGGTTGGGATTAGTGGGTCTTATGACCTGAGGTATACTGTATACATCATACTGTACTGTATTGTATATGAAGGGTACAGATATTAATAAGTACAGATTATTACAATAATGTATCTATACTAATTAATGAAAAACAAATTAACAATATTGTATCATGGAGTCAATACAGTAGACAAACAGTGAGGCGACCTTTTGGGAAGTTGGTGCAGTCACTTATACCCCTCAATGGATCCTTCAACCTCTGGCTGGGAGGAGGAGGTTGCAGTCACTTATACCCCCAATGGCTCCTTCAACCTCTGGCTGGGAGGACGGAGGTGGTGCAGTCACATGCCTCAATGGATCCTTCAACCTCTGGCTGGGAGGAGGGTGCAGTCACCTACCCCCAATGGCTCCTTAACCTCTGGCTGGGAGGAGGGTGGTGCAGTCACTCTCCCAATGGCTCCTTCAACCTCTGGCTGGGAGGACGGAGTGGTGCAGTCTTACCCCCAATGGCTCCTTCAACCTCTGGCTGGGAGGACGGAGGTGGTGCAGTCCTGCCACCCCCAATGGCTCCTTCAACCTCTGGCTGGGAGGAGGTGGCGCAGTCACTTATACCCCCAATGGCTCCTTCAACCTCTGGCAGGAGGGAGGTGGTGCAGTCACTTATACCCCTCAATGGATCCTTCAACCTCTTTAGTTCACACCAAATGGAGGAGGAATTAACACTTATAAAATGGCACTGACTTGACCTAGGAGAATATAACTTGTATTGCTGGAATTCTTGTAAGATAGCGATTAATTGAGTATAAATATCCCTTTTTGCAACACACACACACACACACACCACACACACACACGCAGAGCAGACAGATATTTATTGACCACAAATTATGAATACAGAGTTTACACTAAATTTTACATAAATGTTCCAAATGCAAATGCTTTAAACCACCAAACATTATTAAAAGTTCACTGATTCAACCAGTAACAAAAAAAACCAAATCAACAGTAAATAAAGTAAAAAAACAAAACAAATAAAATAAACTAAAACTTACAAAATAGTTGTGGGTAATGGTGTGTCCAAGTGACTTCTAATGATATACATGAAGTATTTGATGAACAGCACGACAAACAGTTTCATAATCCGTTCTTTCAGAAACCAGCAAATTTACAAAAATTGAAATACTATATTGATGGCGTATATCTATTGTTCAGGGCACTCTTCAACAACATGCCATTCAGACTGAATAACACACACACACACACACACGAGAGAGAGATATTAGTGGGTCGTATGACCTGAAGATATCTTTTTACTATCATATCCGCCACTTATCAGCTTACTAGCTATTTGGGCAGTCTATCCAGTGTTCAAGGTCTGATGGAAGACACAGGAGGCGACCCTTTGGAGGAGTCAAGGTCACACCCCCAGTGGACCCTTCTCCCTCCGGCTGGGGAGGACGGGGGAGGTGGGTTGTTGACCGCCAGGAGGGAGATTAACGCTAACACAAAAGGATTATGAAAGGCAGGGGTTTATTTTTTGCTTATATAATGTCACGGACTTGACTTAGGAGAGTATAACTTACATTGCTGGATTCTTGTAAGATAGCGATTAATTTGAGCATAGTCCCTTAGTTTGCACCAGACATAATAATTTTAGTAATTAATTTAGTACATTTGAGTACAGATTGTGATAATTTATGTGGCTCAGAAGTTGTGATTACAGTTTCAAAGATTTGTGACCACTAGGGTATAATGAGTCCACATGCCCTGGTTTATTCATTGATCAGTTGTCTAAGTGCAAAATTAGCCCTGTCGATCTATCATGTATCAATTAATTTTTAAGTAGAAATTATAATGTAAAATGTTATACAACAATGGTTTAGTAGTGCTGTTAATGTGTGTGTTGTGCAAGTGTCTTGGTATGTCACCTCACCACCTGACTCCTAAACAAATTCTTCATTAACTTCTTCAAATGCAACAATGTACTTGGCAAGCTTAAAACACACACACACATGCATGCACGCACGCACACACGAATTAAGACAAGCATCCAGTGAGGGTCTTTTTGGTGACTTCTTGACAAATTAAATAATCAGCTGTTGAGGAGCTTTTTGCTTGGCAACACTGGTGCATGTTACCTTTTCTACTCAATCTCTCTAATCCACGCCTTTCTGCTTTCTCATTCCATATTTTAAAATAATATGTAACGTACTTTTGAAGGGATAAACCTTGCTTATTTATACTTATACTTATCACAATCTCCTTAAAAATTACTTAAGCTTCTGTGTTCACTCAAGACATCTTCAGGTCATGAGACCCACTAATCCCCAACCAAGAAAGATTGACCTGACATTCCATTAGAAGGTCAGTAATATGAGACCTTTGATCACTTACCCTACCTCCAACTGACATTGAGTCAGGTTCAGGTCAGGTCAGGTCCCCCCCAAAATATTTAATTTTCGTCTCGATTCAAGACATTTTCAGAAAATTCTCTCAAATTTAAGCCTTGGAAAATTTGTTCCTAAAGCCGGAAATTTTGGAAAGTTCTGGCTTTGAATGATTTTCTGATCAATTTTAATTCCCGGCCATTGGAGATTTCCGGGTTTGAGAGATTCGGCTAACGTAGATATTAGTGTACTTCACACCGTCCACTTGTACTGAGTGAAGCCATGAGTTGAGTTTTGTCACACTGTGACAGATTACAGCATGTTCAAAACCGCCTGTTTGTCCCTCCTTCCACTCTTGGTTCCCGAGTTATAGGGTTCAGTCTCTTTATTTGTGTGTCGGACCTCGTGCATACCCATAGCAGGCACATCCCCAGGAAGTTCAAAAGCTAAACTATATTGGGGAGAGGAGAGTTAGGTCCTTTATTGTTAGATTTAATTGTCCATCATTAGAAATTCAGGACACAACACATCCCATAATTTCTCCATGTGTATGAAACAAGTAGGAGTTAGTGAACTTGTAGGCTTAGGTAAGACAAAGTACTTATAATACAGGCAGTGCCGAGTTACCAAATGGGTTACGTTCCTCCTGTTCATAAGTTGGAACAGTGTGAAATCCATAGTTTAGGTTAGGTTAATGCACAACCTGCAAATGCAAAGCAACTATAATATCCCATACATAACAAAAATGTAAATGCTGTTAATAAAATGATGTTCAACAATATAGAATAATAAAGCATTGTAATGTAAAACAATAGATTTTATTTACAGATTTTTTGTGTAGACCTTATTATGATCCTTTACGAAGTGCAGGTGTTTATAAGTTGGGGACTGCCTGTATTTTTAAGTTTCAAGACAAATACAAAAAAAAAAATATATATATATTAATTGAAGGTTTCTTAAATTTGATGGTGGACTTAAATATTCTCCTTACAGAAGCTGCAAACTCTGCTCTTGTCACCACTGTCTGAGTGTAGCTGGTGGGTCATCCTGATGTTCGGCAGAAGCAGCTGGAATCACTCCTGCATATCCTTCACTCCTGTGAACTCTTACACCATGGCTGGCCTCTCATCATAATATTTGGAGCCATCAATGACAATCATAGGTAAGATTTTGTAATAGTGTTCCATGTCACTCTATATCTCGTGTAACCTTCTGTATCATATAACATTACGTATCCTATAACTCTCTAATCCCAGATTAGGAACCGTGAGTAAAGAAACAGATTAAAAGCATCTGAATTTGCACTCCTGGAGATGTAGAGAAGACAATATGATCGAGGTTAAGAAATGGTAGTCTGGGTTAAACAAAAGTTGTACAGGGTATAACAAAGTTACTTAATCTATCAATCAAGAACGAACTCAAAGCAATGGTTTTAAATTAGACAAATTTCGATTTAGAAACAGATAGGTAAACACTGGTTTGAGAATAGAGTAATGGTGAATGGGACAAGTTACTGAACATCATCATTTACTCGAACACGCTGGGAAGCTTCAAATACAGTAAACCCTAACTTCCAGACAATTAGAGGGAAGGTGTCGGTTGGAAATGTCCAGATAAACTGGGGGACGAAATATGCGTTACTTAATCTTATAGGGGAAAATTAGGCTTTATTCCACAACTAAGTCAACAATAATGCTTTAAGCTGTGGAAAATCATTATAATACTCTATTACTAGTTAGAAATAAAGTTAATATAAAATAAAACTATAAATATAATATAAAACTATAAACCAGACATGAGCATAGGTGTTTGTGTGGGTACTGACTCACCTCAGCTGCGTCCCATGATGTCTCCACATACATACCTTAGCATACATACATACGCCACACACGCACACACACACACACACACACACACACACACACACACACACACACACACACTCTCTACTACTACTTCTACTTTTTTATGGCCTCAGCCTCCCCAATAGCCACCTCATACGCCATTTCTTACCTTAACCCTTAGAGCACGGTGGCCGTTCTAGAACGTCCAACTCTCACCCAGTAACATTCCCAGAACACTTGCCTTTCCTGCCACGTTTAAATACCCAGCGGGTTATCAGGTTTCCCTGATGACTATTTGCCTGTCATGCCTCAATCTCGGCGACAAAGCTTCTGAACATAATCACCTACTTGTTTGTTTCATTTTCATTGTTTGTCCATGTTATCCTGTTGTATCAAAGTAATTTGCTAAAAAGTTGTATAGATTTTAGTTTAGTATAACTAGATAATAATGCTATGATTATGTTATAAATGTATTTATTTGTGGAATTATTATTCCGATAATTATTTGTATGACCTATGTGCTCTCCCAGACATAAAGCCTGGCGACAGCCTGGTGTGTGTTGCTGAAATTTTTATGGTAATGCAAATAAAATAACGTCCTAAATTAATTATTATAGGAAGTAAGTATTATGATCAGTAAATAAATGCATTATTGGCCTTCCGGACACAAAAGGAAAGTGGAAAATGACCTAAGTCGTAGTGACAGCAGCGCTTCGATGTAAAACTATCTTATTTGTCTCGTCACTGAAGGGACACGGAGAATATAGAGGGACAATGTGTATTTCTTATGTCTTTTATTGTTTATCATTTATAAAGGTTAAATTATTTTGAAAAAGTTGATTTTGCGTTTACCCTTCGTTGAGGGGTGGCTGGCAACACTATTGGCGTGGGGTTAAATTAACTATCCTAATACATAAGTAACTACAGCTGTGTTGAGTTAGTTGAGCATAGATTTATGCGTTCAGTGACTGTTGCCTCAAAAGTCGATATCTGCAACTGTTTAGCCGACTGGGGCCGATGCTCTCGTTCCCTGAGGCAAAGCAATGCAGATCTAAGCAGAGAAGGACAGTCGACATCTCCAACCAGGCTGTAACATAACCTGGGCTGCTGCTTCTGTTCAGATAACACCTCCACAAGTCTGGCGTGAAGTATCTTGCACTTGGTCCCATCCACCAGAGTTTGTGAACACCAGAGGAGTGAAGCTGCCCTGATCGACATTCTGAATTCTCTTCCCTTTGCCCTAATCTTGGGACCATGAAATTCACCTTTTTCTGTATAGACAGTGACTTGGCTTGGAGCACTCGCACCACTCTCTGCTTCATGGTCTCTTTGAAGACATATGGAAGGTTTAATCATACAGCATGCTTCTCAAATTTAGCGAGTTTTAAATTCGACGTTTTCTATTTGAACACACAAAAAACAACACATTTAAAAATTTTGGCCGGAAACTTCAATTTGACGAGGTTTGACGGCCACCAACGTTCAGACATGCATATCGTGTAAACAAGCGTCATTTCTCTTATGTACAAAGGATTCATTATTGTTTATTACTGAATGTCTTTTTGATTAATTAATGTTTGTGTGTAAATAAAGCAATACAATTCATTAATAATACATAGAATATTAAAACACACGAGGCGAAGGCGGCTTTGTTTCCGTTGTTTACAAAACCAGTGACTGACTGGTTCTACATATAAAACTGAAGAAAATAAGACCCTGGTTGTAGATGTAGTAAAATTAATATGGTTGTTTAGTAATGCTCACCTCACATGGGGAGGGACTGAAAAGGTGCCTAAACATAGTCTGCCTAAAAACAAACCTGACTGGGCAACAGCACCCAGTAAGGTCATCCTTCTATGGTTGAAAACAAAATTATGATCTCAGATGAAAAACAATAACAAACTATACAACCACATTATCTTCTTGAAGAATAAGAGCCATATTGTCTTCTTGAAGAATAAGAGCCATATTGTCTTCTTGAAGAATAAGAGCCATATTGTCTTCATGAGGAATAAGAGCCATATTGTCTTCTTGAAGAATAAGAGCCATATTGTCTTCTTGAAGAATAAGAGCCATATTGTCTTCATGAGGAATAAGAGCCATATTGTCTTCTTGAGGATTAAGAGCCATATTGTCTGCATGAAACTAACTGATCAAATGATGTAAATTTACTTGTATATTATTTGTCTCAATTATTCTAGACAGGACACAGGGGTATATTATGTGTGCTATAGTTTATGACTTTATTGACTTGTTATAGTTGGTAAGATTTATTAGAAAAAATCATCATCATATTTTCACCATTGCTTCATTATTTTCAGTGAACATCTTGTGCGACTCGCCTTCCAGTGCTTACAGTTGGTTGTTACAGACTTCTTACCGCTCATGCCATGGGCCTGTCTGCCTCTCACTGTTGATACAGCAGCTAAGTTTGGTTCTCAGACTCAAGAACTGAACATCTCCCTTACTGCTATAGGCCTTATGGTGAGTTCAATAATTATAATTTAGGTTAGAACATTAAAAAATATAGTTAAAAAGAGTTGGTGAGCAGGGTGCACGTTCAGATACTAATAAATCTAGGTACACAAGTGTTTGTCACTGAACATGGCCATATCAGCCCCCCCCCCCCCTTCACCATCACTCCCATGCCACAGCAGAGTTTAAAGGATCATGTCTCCCAAAACTAGGGTTGGAAAATACCGATTATTGAGTTCCTCCATGATATTACTTTGATGAGTATCCCCAGTTAAGTTTTAGACTCAGGACTACAAAATGTTTTCTTCAGGTGATACTCTGGCACCCCTTACCTACCAGCTAGTGGGGACTATTTCATGTTTGTTGTTTACTGTGACACAAACTCTGGCCATGCAAACTGTAGAGAAATCCTTTAATTAAGCTTGTCTGATCTCATCTGAGGTTCAACATCAGATAGTTATGCATTTTCTTATTCCTACAGCTAAACTTCTCAATTAGAGCTTGGACCCAGAATTGTAAGATGGAAGTTTCAAGTGATACCTCTTGTTTATCAGATGGAAGAGCAGTAGAGGTCACATCTAGCCCAAGTTCCAGTAGAGATCAGATAGTCTTGATTAACACACCAGTGCACCTTGACTCAATATCCAAGTCTATTTTTAGTCTTGTCCAATTAGCACCGATACCATTCTCATATCCCTCGGAAGAAAAACAAATAGAGTAATTATAGTTAGATACGTGAAATTTTGGCGAGTCACTTCTTGCACCATTTTCTCATGGTAATCCAACACTAATTAGATATATCACAACTCCTAGAGTGAGGCTTGTGCACACCAGAATTTACTGCACACTTTCCCTTGAAATTTTCTCTCATTGTCCCTCTCACACACTCCATTGTGCAGCAATATTCACCTGTAAAGTATATACAGTATTAGTTTTTAAAAAATGGTTATTTAGTTTGTTTTTCAATGTTTCACTGAATCAAACTTGTAACTGTTGTTTGTGTGTGACCTGCTGGGGAAGGATTTTTTAATCTAAAATTGCTTACAGTCTAAAACCACCTTAACATACCTATACATTTAGATATACTAACCAATGGAATAAAAAAACTTTAATAAATTTAAAAGTCCTTTAATGACTAAAACTAAACATTTGGGAAAAATTCCCAATACGTGTATTCCCTTGTTTTTCCAATTGATCATCCTTATTATTACTCATATCCAATTTCTGATTTTGCCAATGTGAAGCTTAAAAATGCCTGTTTTTTTGTTGTACGCAGTAACACCTTCAGTATGCCCATAAAATTTGCTGAAGTATAGGTCTCAAAATACTCACGAATGGCCAAATTAGTATTTTCTCAATTTAACGAACTAATTCGTGCCACTCCTGTTCCGTAAATCAAAATTTCCGTTAAGTCGAGCTTTCCGTTATGTTTGTTCGATTTACCGAAATGTTTCACTAAATCGAGCGTGATTCTATTAAGTTCTGCACCAAACGCGCCACGTGTCGCCTGGTGTGTCGGGTTTGTTTTCATCCGCTCAGTCTGTGTCCTGCCGCCACCGTGTGTGTTGTTCACTGCTACCTCTCGGTCAACTAACTCCACTGTAGCACCTCAACTTTCGTCTTTATTTAAGACATCTTCAAAAGCAACTGAATTTACAGTGATGGAATGTCAGTTCACCCTTTCTTGGGTGGGGGATAAGTGGGTCTCATGACCTGAAGATGTCTTGAATAAAGACGAAAGCTAAAGTATTTTTAGGGAGAATATGATAAGTACAGTTATATATGAGCAATGTTGTATCCCTTCAACATTACTTTACATAACATTTTAAAATATGGAGTGAGACAGCAGAAAGGTGTGAGTGAATAGAGAGATGGAGTGGAAAGGAGTGGTAACATGCACATTGTTCCCAAGCGATAAGCTCCTCAACAGCTGATCTTTTAATTTGCCTCCATGCAGTCACACAACAAGACCCTCACTGGATGCTTGTTGTCAATTCAACACACCCTCCAACACCACCAACACACACCCTCCAACACCACCAACACACACCCTCCAACACCACCAACACACACCCTCCAATACCACCAACACACACCCTCCAACACCACCAACACACCCTCCAACACCACCAACACACACCCTCCAACACCAACTCACCTCCAACACCACCAACACACCCTCCAACACCACCAACACACCCTCCTTTCCACCCATGCCTCCAACACCACCAAAACACACCGTTCAACTTTTATTATTATATATTTTCATTGATCAGCCTCTTATGGTGTATGTCTGATCATTGATTATAAGAAAATTTTACTATACGTACTATAGAAAAATACAGTACATTATCAGAATTTGCATAAAAATTAAATGACAAGCTGAATAATAAGGTAAAAATAAGTATTTTACTGTATATATTAGGCATGGGTAACCTTTCCTCAGTCATGGGCTGCATTATGATTTAAGTATTTTTTTCTGCTGGCCAACCCACCAAAATTTATATCCTTCCTAACCCAAAAGTAATGTTAATATGGTATTAATACGGACAGTGAAACAGTTTATCGTCACGTCCACCTTACGATTTTCAATTTTTAATCATAGTCTTTTTCCCATTTATGAAACAAATTCATCCAAATTTTTAAAATTAAAATGTTAGTGTTTCTTGGCATTTAACAGGAGAGGAGTGAAGCCGTCTGCGAATACTTTGATTTTTCCTACAGTTACAGCATAATTCCTATGAGATGCACCTACCAGAATAATGTCAATTTTAATCTTGGCGCATAAGGAACTAATTGAAATAACCTAGAGACACGACGATTTGTTTTACAACAGTAATATCTTCGGTAGCCAGAATTGAAATTTGCTGTGAATTTTTCAGGAAAATTCTCTGAATTCGGGGTTTGGAAACAAATTCCGAGGTTGAAAATCACGTGCATTTTCTGAAAATTCCAAGAAAATTTTTGAAAAATCTTAAAAATTTTTTGTTTCTGGGTCTAGGAATAAATTTTCAGGGCATTCCAAAAGATTGCATCATGCTCCAACCCATCCCCACTTGCCAGATGCGTGGGTGGCCCAGCTGCTTGGATCGCTTTGTTCATATTTTGCTGTCATTGTAGAAGGTTGTTTCCTCACAAGCTGCTGTGTTTTGTGTACAATTTGTGTTGTGCAGTACTGTACATTATTGTACCAGAACAAAGTCAGCCAAGAATTCAGTGGTAAAGCAGTGTTAAGAATGTAAGAAGTGATTACAGTTACATATTCTATACTGTGCATTCAGTAAGTAGGAAACACTGGAGCACTTACCATTTGTCTTTATTCAAGACATCTTCAGGTCATGAAACCCACTAATCCTCCACCCGACAATGGGCGACCTGATATTGCATCAGGTCAGGTCAGTAACATGACCTACTAATCTCCCACCCAACCTCCATTGCAAGTGTTAAGATGTGATTACAGTTAAGCATTACAGTCAGCTGAGTGAACAGTGTCTGCTGATGAGTACAGTATACAGTATACAGAATAATAGTACAGTACTATACTGTACATTATTTTGTTGACAGTAGCCAGGTTAGACTCGTCACTATAATCACCAGGTTACTGGTGTTTGTTACGGTTGGTTTTCATCTCATATTTTTGGGTATATATACTTTACTTTCTTCATTTATTTTTTCTCAGTTACATGCACTCACCATCCTACATACATAGTGTGAAAAAAGTAAAAGAAATAATTGTCCTAAGGGTAAACACATAAAAGGAATATACATTTCTTTGCACACAAGTTAGCTGTCTCACTGGGGGAGCAGGAAGAGGCAGGACGTGTGGAGGGGAGGGGGGGGGCGTTGTTAGGGAATCGGTGTAAATACAGTATTTATCTAACCAAATTTGTAGATAAAGTATTCAGGATTATTTTGGGTAAAAAATGGTGTCTTAAGTAAATTAGAACTGATTTTTTTTTATATAAATGAATGGAATCTCTGTCATGTGTCAAAATATTTTGTGTAAGGATATCATATTGGAAACATCTCAGAGAATTTATTCAGGATCATTATGGTATCAAATTCATCTCTAACACAATTGGAAGTTTATAACAAATGCTGTGAGGAAGGGAGGGAGAAGGGGGAGGGTCCATTGGAGGGTAAATGTGACCGTGCCGCTCCCCCTCCCCCACAAGGGTCGCCTCGATGATTGTTTGACACCAACTACTGTACTGACTCATTCATGATACAATATTGTTTATTTGTTTTCATTGATTAGTAAAGGTACATTCCTGTAATAATCTGTACATATTACTACCTGTACCCTTCATATATAATACAGTACTGTATACTGTAGTACTATGTATAAACAGTACCTCATAGGTTAAAAATAATGTAGTTCAAAGACCCATTAGCTGAAACAATTGGTGCAGAGCACTTCCTGGGATGAGAGATTTCCAGGTAACAAGACGATTTTCTCAAACCCAGAAAAATTCCTTACCGTATCCCCGGAACCTTTTCTGGTTGCTGGGAACAGTTTCAGAGTGTCTAAACTAGACCTCTTGTACAGACACACACTAGCCCACTTCCCCAGAATGTTTCTGGGTGCTGGAGATGTTTTCCTCGAGTCTAAACTAATGGAATCCGTAAAATTTTTTTTTACGGGGGATAGCCCACCAGGGCACAGGTCATCGACTCACAGCAGGGCCTAGGGTAGCGAAAAACAAGATTAAAAATAAATTAAAAATAGAAAAGAAAAATACAGTATTACCCCGCCTACTTGGCGGTTTTCCATACTTAGCGTTTTTATCATATCTGGTGCCTGTGAAACAGACTTTCACTTAACGAGGATTTTTTTTCCACATATCTTGCGGTGAGTGTCCCGGCTCGAGGCAGCTATTTTAGATTTGCCCCACCCGCCACCTGCCTGACTGCCTGTTTTAGCTCACTTAAAATTCATACAAATTACCCGGCCAGAATATAATTTACATTGCAAATTCTTATAATTTGGTGATCATTTTGAATACGGT